TTTTTTGGGCTACCTCTCATCTCCCATGGGCAGGGCAGGGAAGGTGGCTTACTTTTTAAGTTGCATTCCAATTTCTCATCGTAATCTAACTTTGAAGCCACATGAAGATCACTAGCTGCTGCCTCCCCATAATCCCACATGGCCCTTGCCATTCCCCGTATTTTGTATCCTTAGCTGAGTCAGGATTAATCTGGAAACAAATAATGCAAATTTGAGAAATTGAGTCTACTCATCATGTCATGTAGGATGAGTTACAAAGCTAGACTCATCAAAATTTCAGTAGCAGCAAATAAAGCAAAACTTCCATGCTTTCATGCAAAAGTTATGGCATGGCAAGAAACCAAGAACAAAACCTGCAAAGCAGTATCAGCATCACGAATTGCAGCATTTGGTTTTTCATCTTGATAAAGACACTAGCTGAAAGCAAGAAAATGAAGTTTCTGAATTACAAGAATGGTGTGGATGGCAGTAAGAGAAATCACATTTACTGAGAGATTTACGATTCTGGAAGGTGAATTAGTAGAGCACCTCTAGTAGCATAAAGTATTGCTGAATGGGGATTCAAGATAATGGCTTCTGTTAGTTGATCCACTGCATCATCCAACTTCCCTGAAAAATATAGACAATCAAATTGATAGAGGGAAAGGATCTCTAAGAAACAAAGAAGGAAAGATCCCAGAAAAGAACGGTTATCAAGGAAAATTTAAACCATGCCTTCTGAAATAGAATCGATGGCCTTGGACTTTTGCAACTTGTGCAGCATCCCGCTGATCTTCTGTTACCTCAGCAGAAGAATCTCCATCTGCCAAACCAGTTAGAATTGTTAGAATTATTTTTTCAGGAGTGGGCTTCATGCCATGGGAACCACCCTCCGTCAACATACTCTCAAAAGAAAATATGGATAGAAAGGCTAAAGATTATAAGACACAATGTTGGAAATCCACTAATTTCCTGCCAATCCAATACCTTCTGAGGAGGGTCATTATCAGGTTCAATAACACCAGTATCGTCCAATTCGATATCAGATTCTACAATTTCATCTTCATCTTCTCTAGATAAATCAGCTCTTTTAGCATCAGAGTGCTCTGACATGTCTTCAACTTTCTCCTGCATGAGTTTTGTATAAGCAGAAAAGACAGGACTGAAAATGCCAGAACTCTACTTTACAAAAGAAACTTTCACCCGATTTTAAAATGCAACAAAATTAGTACAAAGCCGCCATTTTGGGATACGATCGGAACTAAGGAACTCAGTCATTCTTATTCCATATATGCATCCCAATGCTCACAATAGTTACCACCCAAATTCTATAAGTAGATAAATTTTGAAATTTCAAATGAACATGAGCAAAGGAGCATAAGAGAAACGAGTAGAAATTGATTAAAGAATGGAGGGCTCACCGTTTTTGGTTCTGGAGGTAGCCGAGCACTTAAGCTGCAAGCACAAGTAACACAAATGTTTCAGAGAAAGAAATCATAAGCCAACATGAAAATTGTAGAGCAAATCTACCTACAGGCACTTTAAGGTACCTGAGAAGATAAGACTTGAAGAATGAAAGAGATGGATGTGAAGAAGTGAAGGATTTGACTTGCATCCATCGATAAATTTCTAACTCTGCGACTTTCGCATCATCCATCGATATTCGATTGACAATTTTCTGTCTCTATCCAAGATCGGACCACCACTGCTTTACTGCTTCGCACACCGAAAGCACATGAAGCAGGTAGTAGAATTCAGGGTATGTATCCGGAATGCGGTAGAGCTAAGCAGCATGGCACCTGATCGACCTCAACGAATAATTGCAGAGTGATGTCTTTTCTTTGGATTTGGGTGGTAATTTTGTAAGAATTTAGAAAATAGAGTTCATCCAAATAAAACAAAATTTTAAAATAGATTTTTTAATCATTATAGTATACATTTAATTATTAATTTATATATTTTATTTTAATTTTTTAATTTATAAAATATTTTTTTAATTTTTTAATTATAAAGTATTTTTTAATTTTTTAATCTTAACATTGTTAGTTTTATTTAATAAATTTTTAAATATTAACAAAACATTATCAATGTTAATATATTAAATTTATTTTTTTAAAATAATAATAATTAATATAAAAAAATAATCATTTAAATTTAATGATATTATAGTTAAAAGATTAAAATATTTTTATAAAATTAAAAAATAAAAAAAAATTTATATGAAGTTATAGAATTAAAAATATACTTTAGCATTCCTCAAAAAAATTCTTATGAAAAGCTTCTAAAATTAAATAAATAAAAAATAATAAAATAAATGCTTTAAATGGATTTTTTTTGTGATTATTAAAATGGGCTCTGTTTTGGCTAAAAAAAAATCCATTTGAATTTCTAAAATTAAATCTGGTTCAACAATATAAATTTTATTAAATTTAAAATAAAAATATTTATAAAATTGTATAATTATTATTAAAGTACACATTTAATCTTTTAATTTTATATAATATTTTATTCTAATCTCTTAATTTTATAAAATGTCTTCAATCATATAACCCTAACATTGTTGCTTTCATCAACAAAAAATTTGCTATAATTAACTTTCAAATGTTGAAAAAAAAATTTAAATATTGACACATGAAGTTTAATTTTTTAAAATAATATAATTGTTATTTGAAATTAACGATATTAGGGTTATAAAACTGAAAAAAAAAAATATTTTATAAAATTAAAGGACTAAACTGAAATCTTATATAAAACTAGAGGACCAAAATACACTTTAGTTTTTATTTACTTCCTCCATTAAAAAATGTAAGGTATTTTTAACTGAATCTCATCTAATAAAGTAGTTATTTATTTTTTAAACTAACATATCCTTTCATATTCACTCTTATTTAATGGGATATTTTATCCTAAAATAATTATAAAGTGGTTCATTCAATAGAGATACTTTAAAAAAATAATGATTATACCTTAAAAAATTAAAAATACTTTATATTTTTAATATTCAACCCATCAAAAAATATTTTACATTTTTTAAGGGGGGAGTATTTATAAGTCATATGCTGTGGCTTATTTTAAACAATATGTTCTAATGCAATATAAATTTTATAAAAATAGATAGCATTATTTATAAACTAAAAAATACAACTCATCGTATGTCAAGTGAAGAAAATAAGTCTTTCGAGTAAGAGTTAAGTACTTCACAAATACTTAATATGCTTGGATTTAAATATATTAATAATAATATTATTAACAACATTACCAAGGCTTAAATACTTAACATTATATATACAATATATTTTTATTCAATCAAATTATGACAAGTAAATTTTAGCATATTAATAATAAGAATTTGTTATAAACTAAATATTCTATAAAATATTCACTTGAATTCGTTTAACTGAAAATAAACACACTAAGTATATATTAAAAAAAAAAGTGTTTAAATTCTCCCCTTCCTTTAATCCATGGCCATCCCACTGAAGAATACAATTCAGTGAAACCAGAAAGAATCAATAACTTTATATGATGCAGAATCAAATTCTCTTTTATTTTGCTTTTTCCAATTTGTGGGACACAGGCTATTCCATTAGAATTCCAAATTATATAGTGCTCGTTTGAATTTCAGTTAGGTATAATAGATTATAAAAATAATTGATAAAGTAATAAATTTTAATTATAATTGATTATGTTATAACGCAATGTGTTTGGATATTATTTTTTTAAAATTAATTTTAACAAAATTGAAGATGTTTGAATAATTTAATCAAAATTAATTTTTAGCTATATAAATTACTATATAATTTAATTTTTAAATACCAAATATTAATTTTTTAAAGATACAAAGTTTAAATTTTATTAAGAAAAAAAGAGAAAAGAAGAAAGTTTGGTTTTATTTTTATTAAATTATGTGCTTCTTTTATAATTTTTTTTTGGGCTTGTCTTTATAATTTTTTCCAACATTTTTGACAAGCTTTTCCAACTCGATTCTCAACTTTTAAAATAATAAATTTTTGGCATAAAAATTTATACTCCAAAAGTGGGTGTTTGGATAATTTTGTGGAGAATCAATTTTTTGGACCAAACATCGATTATTTTTGCTACCCAAACAGACAGACACTCCACTTGCACATTTTCACTTTCAATGATAACTAAACATTCAGATGTTTCACTTTGTCAAGAGAGTCTGGGGTGAATATTTCATGAACTATAAACATTAAATTTGAATGTTTAAGATTTTTTAAATTAAATAAAAAATATTAACATTTTATGCTGTTCGAATTTGATATGCATTATCATCAAAGGGGTATATGGGGCAAAAGATTTTTAGTGTTTATTAGAGGGGTAGCATGGCAAAATAAAAATTAGTCACATGTTTTAACTCTTTCATTAATGCCTAACCCCAAAATTTCAAATGCAAAAGTAGCTAGAAACAATGTTCACCAGATGTATTTTGGATGGCTTTCTGAGGGCGACAGAGTGGGAGGCAAAACGAAAGAAGAGACAATCAGAGAAAGAAGAAGGGGTCCACTGGATACAAATTGATGTTGGGGTGGGGGAGGAAACGTTGAAAATGAAGGGAAGCACCAATGATTCCATTGTTTATTTTTTCATTAGTTGCCGCATAAATTTGGGATGTTGCTGATATGGATGCCACATAAGCCACAATTAACAGAGTTAATGACAAGTAAGCAATGTCTAGTCTAAATCATTAACGATAAGGATCAAAGTTCTAAATGGACGGCACTTGAAAAGCTGAGTTATAAGAAGCTAAACTTAAAAAGACTGAATGATAAAAATTAAAAGTTGAAGGATGAAAAATAACTAATTTCCCTAATTTTCATCTTCCTCGTTAATCAATTTTTCTGAATGTGACTTTCATGACACAATGGATTTAGGCACAACTTTGGTAAGAAATCCAATAACTACGGTTAATGAATCTGAAGACAATTCATTATTGTACTGCTGGAGGGGAAAAATTGATTATACAGCATGATGAAGCATCAAAAATCATGAAAGTCGCATTTAAGTATAAGTGCTTTAAATAAATTAATCATATAAGATCTGTGAACAAAGAAAATATTAAATATAAAAAAAAAACTAGGACAAAAATGCTAAGGACTTTACCCATTAAAAACTAAAATAATTGCAAAATTACATGATACATAAACTTTATGTGCTCTTCTTGAGAGCTAGCTAGTTCATGGCAGGTAAGGAGCAGGAACCAGAAGTGATGGAGAAACCAATACTATCTGTTCCTGGAGTGCCACATTCTGGTGATTTCTTGTTCATAGAGTATGGTGATGTGCTTGTCACCCTGAGCAATGCAAAAGCATATCAGGAATCAGTAAAATTTTCAGACACATACTTCATCATGAAACAAGAATAACAGCCTATGTTAAACATAAAGACACGTGAACCTACTAAATAGTGTACCTGAAATATTTATATATCTATTGGTCCAAAAAAAGCATATTTCTATATCTCTTTCTAATTGATTTAATCTATATATATATAGATGGTAGATCAAATCTACCTCAAAATCTCCCTTCATTTATACCAATGTTTGAACTGGGAAGAATAGAAGCAATTACCTTTCCTTGCGCTTCTCTAAGAATCGAGCCAAGGATGCTTTGCGTGCCTGAGGCAAGTCCACTGAAAATACATAGAAACTTTGTTATCTATCACAATATCTAACTTAAGCTAGAAGTAGAAAATAAAAATAATGTAGTGTGCACACAGCCCAGAGTGCTGGTCATACCAGGTGAACCCATTTTTGTCGACGCAGATTTTGCAGAGCCTGCTACACTAGGAGACTCCAAATGGCTACTTGGGGCAGCAGAAGATGATGCTACTGGTCTCACTATTGCAGGTTCATTGGTGCTAGGAGATCCTCCCCCAGGCTGAGGACTAGCATGGAAGGTCATGGGAATTGGACTTGGTAAAGCCGAATGGTAGGATTGGCTTACGATAAACCTATCATCTTGTGCTGGCTTGGAGTTTGGTGTTTGCACTGGAGCTGTTGACACTGGCTTTGTATGATTTGGAGTACTCCCATTTCCAGCCAATAACATTATAGCCTGGGCCTTTTACAATCAGAATAAATAATCTAAAAACAGATTCGATCCAAAATTTAAACAAAGATGATGAAAAGTTCAGACAAGATATATATACCTTCTCAGGAGATATGTTTTCATAAACACACACTGAACCAGCATAGAAAATTGTCAACTGAGTAGGTTTGCCAGAGGTTTTGGATGAGTTCCTGCCAAAAAATAAAAATAAAAAAACTCAAATTTCAGCTCTATCACTTACTCTACAATGCCCTACTATGTCATTATGAAGCTTCAAAAATTTTAAACATGTTATTACCTTAAGTCAGTGGTGCCAACAACGGAACCATTAGCTGGAAGAACAGGTACAGGGGCAATCAAAGGGACAGTGGTACTAACAGTAGATTGGAGAACAGGACTCCTCTGATTTGATTGGTTGGAGACTGAAAATGTTCTGGCTTCTTGAGGGTAGCCTGAAATATTATCAACTTGTTGCATTGGATAAACTGTCATTCCACGCTCATTTCCTACTTGTTTTCCCATGCTTAAACTTTTCTGCAAAATTACAAGACGAGTGGAGGGAAGATCAGTTACAGAACTAGAATACAAAGAGCAAACGTAGTATCAATTGCAAAACATAAAGGGTATATTCGGATTAAGGAGAGAGGAGAAGGGAAGGGAAGGGAAGGGAAGGGAAGGAAAATTTTGACTGCTAAATTGAACCTACCTTCCCTTGTCTTCCATTCTCCTCAAAACAAAAAACCACAACTCACACTTTTCAAACTTCAGCAATCAATAAGCATCAGGGAATTACAGAAGCATAGAAACTTCTCACAACTAGTAGAAGATGGAAAACTTGTCAAGAAAACGCAGGACTGGAATTTTCTATTTCGAGGTAAATTTTGCGCAGGGAACATTTGCAGAAAAAGAAGGTACTGTTATGAGATTTGATGCATTAATATGTTAGAAGCTCAAACGAACCTGGATCCCACCCAAGAATGGTTTCAGGTTAGAGTCAAAAGTATCCGCTGATGACGTGGTCTTTCTTGTCCTGTCTTCCTGACAAGTCTTGAAGGACAACAATTGAGGAACAGCAGAAACCTTGTTAGAAAATGACCACTGCATTCCTGAACCTGTTACTGTTGCAATAATTGGAGGTGAAAACAGTTTAGAACACCAGAATACCGCTCATAAATATAGTAATGAAGCAGAAAGAAAAGAAAAAGAGATGATTTTGTGGATGATAATGATAAGAAAACGCATAGATACCTTTAAGAACCAATTTGGGGAGAAACAAACAGTAGAGATTCCTTCTAAACTAAAACAATTTTATTAAGGATAGAAGTTCTCAATGCGATAGTGAAATTAAAGAGTATATATAACAAGGGGCCAACTAATAACCTGGAGACTCGGAAAAACTACATCGACGAGTACCAAACACATGAATCCCAGAAAAGAAGTAGAAGATCTGAAAGCAATTTATGTGTCAAAATCCTGAGTCCTTGTAATACTTCACATATTATATTTTCTCACATGTGACCAAGTACAGTACTTTATCGTTAACTTATGTCGGCAGAACCAAGCCAGGTATTAAAAAAAAAATGAAAATTTAGGAACCCATAATAAGAAAAGGAGTTAACTCTCTGGATGGGCATTTATTAAATGATAGTCCAAATGTAACACATAACATAGTAGTATTAAATGCTCTTGTACTTTACGAGCTTTCAATATTTTATACTGTCACCATTTGTTTATTTTATATCCTTGTTTCTTACTCTAGGTACCTTATATAATTGTTATTTGTACGCACTTCATTCAAAGATTACTTTATTTCCAAAAGGCCACTCAACGCGGCTGAATAATTTATAAATAACTCTTCATGCCCATGTTAACCTTGAATTAAAAATTGAACAGGTAACAATTAAAATATAATTATTATACGCATCGAGGTTGTCCTCGTCATTTAAAAATAAAACCGATGGAGTCAAAATTCCAGTGGAAGCAGGAAAAAGAAGTAGCACATTTTACTATGAAAAGGTAGAATAATAGCACCAGACAACTAGGACCACGTTTTTTCTCTAGTAGGCAAATGCACCAACCATTCAAGAATCGCCTATATTGGTTACTTATTCCGGTCAGAACAAAAGCTAGATAAAAATAAAAGAGTTTAATTTCCACGAACTGACATCAGGTACAGAGTTCAATACTACAGGGAATTCTCAGCCATACACCAGAACTTCATCTCAGTGAAGGGAAAATCTATGTAATATTGCTTAGCTTGTTTATGTAATACTATATATCTGTTTCACTTTATTCAGTTTCTCGGAATTGATTTGCGCATTATTTATTTCCTTCTTTTTCTCGTTTGTTTCCCGGAAAAGTATACGGCCTCGGTAAAAAGAGAAGGCTGGGAAAAGACCTAAAAACCTCAGTTGAAGAGGTCCCCTTGCATGCATAGATTCAATTAATGAAAACATAGAAAAAGGGAAAACAAAACAGAATCTCACAACCCAAAGCTAGCAAGTTTCCATTTTTTTTCCCTCCTTGTTAAAGAATTAGTTGTGAAAGCGAAAACTGAGGTTCAGAAGAAGTAAAAGAACGAAACCGTTACAAGAAAAGAAAAGACTAACCATTTCAGAAGCAGAAAATCAAAAAACAGAAGCAGAGAACCACTACCTGCGTCTATAGCTATATCAGCAGCATCCTCTTTCTTAGTCGCGGAACCAATCATTGTACTCAAACCCAGAAAATCCCGTTCCATGTGGGAAAAGAAGATTCAGAGACGGAAAGAGAATTCAAACGTGTAGTCGAGGAAAGAAGGAGAGTGAGTGGAGAGGAAAGGGCTGGTTTGATTGGGCAAGTGGGAGAGAAGAGAAGGGAAAGGAAGGAGGAGGAAACAGCAAAGGGATATATCAATATGAAATAAAACGAAGAGGAATGAATAAATAAATAATGAAAAAGAGAGAGAGAGAGAGAGAGAGAGAGAGAGAGAGAGAGAAGCTCGTGGGCTCGTGGCGTTGTTTTTTCGCGCGGCGATGTGAGGAATGAGTCGATACCGTTGGATTTATAAAAGACGTGATGATATTTCGTGAAGAGGGTGGTGAGCGTGTTTTCGAGTGAGGCTTTGCTGGTCGGTGACCACGTGCGGCAGCCAATCTCCATTCGCAGGGATTGGTGGGCATTTTTCACGTATATATCGCTTGAATATAACTGCATTATTATATTGTGTGTGTGAGTGAGTCTAATGCAAAATCCCAACAATAGCACTTGCCGTTCCATTTGACACGTGGTACGGCCACATTAAACAGTCTGCTTTATCGGGGAATACATTTTCCAAGTACTCACTCCTCACCCTGGTAAAAACCGAGTCAATTTATTTGATTGAATTAATAAATTATTAAATTTATAATTTAATTAATTTAATAAAATATTTTTTTATAATTGATTTGATCATGATTTAGTTATTGTAACACCCTCAAATTTACAAACTGATTTTTCGCAAATCATTAATTCAATAAATTATTTTTTTCATTGAACCCTAATCGTACCCTTATCATGGTAGAAAAATTTCTACCATGGTACATCAAAGACAATATACCACAGGTCTTAAAATATCTCAAAAAAAATAATTAGAACCATGAGGGACAGACAGGATCCTCATGGCATGATATTTAAATCAGGTCATGAATCAAGAGGGACAGATATAATCCTCTTGGTCATATAAATGCTTTTAATAAAAAGGATTAGAGTTTACATGCTTCACAAAGAAGATATGTCCTAAGTTGGCACAAGATACATTGTATAATCTAAAATAAGAGACAACGTAAAAGATGGTGTCTCATACACCATAGTTACACCTCTGGTGCTTTCTCGGCCGGACTCGCTCCTGTAAAAATGTTAACCACGGGGAATGAGACTTAAAAGTCCCAGTAATCAAAAATTAATATGTAATGATGCATGCGGATGTAACTAATCATGCGATTGCTAAGTGGGCACACAAAACATTTAACCGAACAATACTTTCAAACAAACCGAACAAGTATTTAATTGCATGACTGCACCTTATATCCTCCTTTCGCCATGCTCGGACGCCAAATCACCCGGCCAAAGGTGAGTTGGACCAAGCGACACGCCACTCATTGGGTCCAATGAGGGCTTACCACGTGGTAATAATTAACCGAACAGAAATTCCCATTAACACCATACATTAAAATACCCTGACAAATCATGCATCATTCAAATATTCAAACAGAAATATATCCGAACAATAATATCTCATCATGATAAACAAAAATAAATTTTTAACCCACTTGACAATGATTTCACGGAAGTATATAACAGTATTTATTTTCAATAATTCATAATTTTTCCAAACAACAAAACAACACATAACCATTCACAAACACACCCATCACAACACATTAATAATGGTTACCTTGTGTCTTGAATAACAAGTTCCCATTCACAACTCCTTTTTTACCACTATCTTTGTCAATATAATCTACATAATTATTTCACAATACTATATATTAATTTTACATTAAAATAAATAACTCTAATTTAAAGAGTTAGAAAGTCTTAGATCTATAGTCCATATTAACACTAATTTAAGATTTATGCCTCATTTAACTTCCCAAATTCTTTTCTAAAATTCTCGTACCCTAATGAACTATTTTTTTTATCCTCAATTCACTTCTAGTATCACAATTTCATCCTTCTATATTCTAAAAATTCATCCAAAAATAAATTAAAAATTTTAGAATTATCCTGAAGCCTCAAATCACCTTTCTATAACCTCAAAAATACCTATTCATACTTAAATAAATATTTAATAATCATAGGTTTATCCCTACGTCTCAGATTCCACATAAATTCAACCATATAGATCTAGATTTAACTCAAAAATTCTTAAACATGAGTTTCAACCTTAAGAAAATATTATATAATATTTTTTATATCCCTAAGAATTTTAACCTATATTTTTAATCCATCATATCATCAGATTAACTATCCTATAAAAAAATCCTAATCAAAATATTTACTCTATCCTACAAAATATAAAGCTAATATTATTTAGAAAATAACTATAAAATTAATTTTATAATTAAATAAATTTTTAAATGCTAATCTAAACAGGAAAGTTAGAACATACCTGAAGAAAAAGAAAATAATCCCCCCTTGCGAAAAAACGCCGAGCAACGTGAGAGGAAGAGAGAAAAATAATATAAAAATGGAATTGTGAGTCCCAAAATTATATTAAAAAAAAATTATAGGTTTGAATTTAATAATTCAAACCTTTAAGCCAAAAGTTGCAATTTTCTCTAAATTGCATCTTAACCTCTCATGCTTCCTAATGCACACACCCCCTCCTTTTTATACATGAAGGCACCTCTTCTCTTCCCTCATCTAACCAATGTTGGACTTAGAAACAACAACCTTCCACCCCTTTTTTTTTGTTCCTTCTACCTTCTCTTTTTTTTTCAACATATACATAAAAAAAATTATTTATATATTATATCTTAACTAAATATTGCTTATGTGGTTTTAAATTTAAATTTTTAAATTCATAATTAAATACCTAACCATAATATTATTTCTAAATAACCTCAAATAATATAAATTCCTATTATTATCAATTTTTTTTTCAAAACTTAAATTCCACAATTTCTTTATTATATAAAAAATCAGGATGTTACAGTTATCATTTTAATCAATGATTTTTGAATCAGTATTTTGAACCTTGCTCCATTTTCAATACATTGTTCATAATATACAGTAAAATATAAGGCATTCAAATTAAAAAAAATATGGTCCATTGAAACTTTTTTTGATCATGTACAGGTATTGAAAACAATCATATTCAAACTTAATATTTATCATCACGTCACTTATATGTGTGATTTTTTAAGAGGATATAATTTAAAAGATGTATAACTTTATTAAAAACCTAAAAAAACTAATTTTTTTAAGAATTGTGAAATACTCCTCATCAATGTCATATATTGTGAACTAAAGGGAGTAATTAGTAATTATAAACACATCAAAAATTGTAAAAAAAAATAATACATCATTTTTTTATTGTGTATAAGTATTTTTTTATTGAAAATAATTATGTTCAAGACACATAATATTTTAAGATTAGTATGATGTTATTTGTTTTAATAATTAACATTAAGTTGAAAATTAATGTTAATGCAGGTTTAAAAACTTTTTTACCCATCGCCAATTGTCAAAAAAAGAGGCAACCTTACCCCCACACACACGTGTTGTATTTCTCCACAATTTTTTTAAGATAGCTCCTCTAAAAATGATTATGGGATTAAAGTATACTTTAACCCAATTCTAGTTGATCAACCTGTAAAACGGATATAAAATATACATGATTGAAATTTCAGCTCTCTATAAATTGTATAACTCATGTCGTAATTATGTTTTTTTTATAAACATTTTAATTATGTTTTGAAGAATTGCAACTCGTGCAAACTACGAGTCTGTGACTCTTTGATTCAGATAGACATGCTTGTAAATTTTGACATCAACAATAATTTTAAATCTTAGTTTTCAGATTAATTTTTCAGGCCAAAAAGATTGAAACTGTAAGGCTACTAGGAAATTTTTTGGTGAAATGCTATTAAAAATATTATTTATTTTATTTTTGGCCTATCAAAAAAATAAATGAAAATATATTATTTATGAATACTAGAGACATTGTTTAGACGGAATTAGTTTGGGTGTTCA